AACCAGTTTGGCCCCTATCTCTGAACCTAGCCTGCCCTCAGTGAGCAGAGGGATGTCCAGCAACTGACCTCTCTGAGCTGTAAAAATGGGGATTTATGCCCTGGCTGGTTTTGCTCAATGGATAGAGCGTCGGCCTGCAGACTGAAGGGTTCTAGGTTCGATTCCGGTCAAGGGCATGTACCTTGGTTGCGGGCAACATCCCCAGTAGGGGGTGTGCAGGAGGCAGCTGATCAATGTTTCTCATCGATGTTTCTAGCTCTCTATCCCTCTCCCTTCCTTTCTGTAAAAAATCAATGAAATATTTTTTTAAAAAATGGGGATTTAAAAAACCAAAAGACCCAGAAGGGTTTGGGGAAGATTAAGTCTGGACTCTTTTACCGCCATGGGAGACCCCCAGATAGTGTGTGGTAAACATTCTCTCCCTTTCTGCTTGCTTCTCTGTGGCAGCTTCCTACACGTGGCTGTGGCTCCATCAAGGAAGCCAGGCGAGTGGGGAGTCCCCAGGTGGGCGGAGAAGTCACTCTTGTCTCTTTGTGCCCAGAAACCCTGCCCCACATGCATAGCTTCCCCCAGGGGCTTGGACTCCGGCTGTGGGCTCCCCAGTGGGGGGCTTGCAGGAGGCGGCTGATCCACGATTCTCACTCATCATGGATGTTTCTATCTCTCCCTCTCCCTTCCTCTCTGAAATTGATAAAAATACTATTATTTTAAAACAAAGGAGGGGAAGGAGATCTTCATTGTCATCGTCCCCCTCAGACTGACGCCGGAGTCCTAGACCTGGAGAGAGTTGACACGTGCCCACCTGCTCCCCTCTCCCCCATCCAGTTCTGTTAGATCCTTGGGGGTGGGGTCAGCTTTGGGTGTTTATTTAGTCTCCCGATGCCTCTAATGTGTAACCAGGGTTAAGAACGACTGGTCTAGTCCAGCCTCCTCATTGTGGAGATGAAAACACACAGGGGGACAAACAACCCCAGGAAGATGGAAAGAAATATTTAAAGAGACAGAGTCTAATGCAGAGTCTAAGCGCCCCAAGAGGGGGGCTATTGTGATGTCATTATTCATTATTTCTCTCATCGCTCTATTAGGGTGGATGCCCTGCTGGCATTTAACATTTTTTTAAACAAGGGGTCCCATGTTTTCACTTTGCCCTGGGCCCTGCAAGTGATGGAGCTGGTCCTGGCCCTAAGCAGAGTGGGTTATCACCCCATTAAAGAAAGAGGAGGGGCGCCCGGCTGGTGTGGCTCAGTGGTTGAGCACTGACCTATGAACCAGAAGGTCATGGGCTCAAACCCCAGTGGGAGGCGTTCAGGAGGCAGCCAATCAGTGATTCTCATAATGGATGTTTCTTTCTTTCTTTCTTTTTTTTTTTTTTTTGCTTTTTAATATATTTTTATTGATTGCAGAGATGAAGGGAGAGGGAGAGAGAGAAAGAAACATCAATGATGAGAGAGAATCATTGATTGGCTGCCCTGCACGTTCCTACTGGGGATCCAGCCTGCAACCCAGGCATGTGCCCTTGACAGGAATCAAACCCGGGACCCTTCAGTCTGCAGACTGACACTCTATCCGCTGAGCCACACCAGCCAGGGAGATGTTTCTTTCTTTTTCATTTATTTATTTATTTATATTTTTATTGATTTCAGAGAGGAAGGGAGAGTGAGAGAGATAGAAACATCAATGATGAGAGAGAATCATTGATCAGCTGCCTCCTGCACATCCCCCACTGGAGTTCGAGCCTGCAACCTGGGCATGTGCCCTGACCGGGAATCAAACCATGATCTCCTGGTTCATAGGTTGATGCTCAACCACTGAGCCACGCCGACCGGGCATCATCATTGATGTTTCTATCTCTCTTTCCCTCTCCCTTCCTCTCTGAAATCAATAATAATATATTTTAAAAAAGAAAAGAAAGATGAGGGACATACTCAGGGCTCAGAGGCCTGCTGGATGTGGGCTGGCCTGGCCTGGCCCTCCATTGCCCAGGGAGGTTGTCTGCTCCATCCGGGGGAGGGGGCTGTCCTCATATCTCTTTCGAGAAGCAGTGCAGAGCTTGGGGCTCCCTCTTCCTAGCTGTGAGGGGCCCTCTGAGCCTCAATTTCCTCATCTGTAAAGGGGAGGATATAATGCCTGCCCTGCAGAATTGCTGTGAGGTGTGCATGGAATCATGCCTGTCCCACTACGTGCTGGAAATATGTATCTTCCCCCCTTTTTTATTGGGGAGAGAGGGAAGCATCCTTCCCCAAAAGAATGGGCCCTAGCCGGTTTGGCTCAGTGGATAGAGCGTTGGCCTGTGGACTGAAGCGTCCCGGGTTCGATTCCCCATCAGGGCACATGGTGGGGTTCCGGGCTGATCCCCAGCAGGGGGCCTGCAGGAGGCAGCCAATCAATGATTCTCTCTCATCATTGATGTCGCTATCTCTCTCTCCCTCTCCCTTCCTCTCTGAAATCAATAAAAAACATATTTAAAAAAAGAATGGGACCCTTTGCTCTAGGTGCAGCCTTGTCAGCCACCCCAAGGGCTTTGGTCTCCATGGGAGGCCCAACTATAATAAGTTCCCAGACGTCTGCTTTTCTCACCCAAACTAAGGACAAGCAGTGGGGGGCGGGGGGGGGGGGGGAGGTTTCATTGTGAGTGGCACAGGTTGGCATCAGAGCCCTTCAGTGCAGGTGAGCTACTGCCCTCTGGTGGTGATTCACCTGTACCTGCACCATGTCCTGAAATCCTTCTGGGGAAGCGATGCTGCATAACGTAAGACAATTCGGTTTTAAAAAATAATTTATGGCTACACTGCTAGGCGGGAAGGATACAGAGACAGATAAAACACCGTTCTTGCCCTCTCGGAACTCACGGTTTAGAAAATAAAAGTCTTAAAGAGGTGGCTGGAGTCCCGCACAACGTGCAAGCTATCATAGAAACAATGCAAACAAAATGGAATGGATGCGCTTATGCCTGCTCTCCCCTCTAAGGAAAGTGATGAACCCCCGACAAGTCTGTAAGGAGATTGGGAGGTTGAGGAGTCTTCATTTTCCAACAAGGTGATTCTTTTTATTCATTAAGGATATCCCCCCCCCCCCACACACACACTGTAAATGTAATGTAGAAATACAGAATTGTAGAAAACTTAGACAATTCAGAAAGTGTAAAATAAAATTTAAAAAAAAATCATCATCTTACCACCCAGAGACAATAGCAGACAAGTTTCGTGCACAGCATTAACGTAGCAGTTTAGAAATACACAAATGGACAGAAAATTCGGAGATCTCACTGCATGTGCTGTTACATAGTCTTTTTTTTTTTTTTAATGTAACATTATAAAAAACATTATTTTAAAAAGCTACCCACGACGTTCTTTCTCCTAGGGGTGCCATTCCCATTCGAGTTTCCAATTTTTCTCAAGTTAAAGCCACTCTATGGATCTGATTGCCTCATTCAAAGAAACTCAGCTCTAAGTTAACTTGGCCAAAGGGAATGAACTTTTCTATTTTCATAACTTTACTTAAAATACAGAAAATTAAAGTCCTCGCATTTGATTCTACCCCATCGAAAGCCCAGGGTGGCTTCAACCCAGTCGGATTCCCGGCGGGCCGGCCGCCGCGCACCTGCGCACAATCGCCCAAACGCACACCTCCTTCCCAGGAGGGAACTTTACAAGACGCCGTCCCGGCACCACCTCTTTAAATTTTAAAACGAAGCCCCTGGCCAATCAGCGTTAATTTCTTCCCCGGAACAC